TTCCCTCGTAAGACTGCTTTCATTGTGTCCCATAGATTCCGATATGTTGTATTGTCATTGTCATTTAATTGAAGGAACTGTCTGATTTATTCTTTAGTTTCCTCTGAGACCCATTGGTTATTCAGAAGTGTGTTGTTCAATTTCCACATGTTTGTAAAACTTTTTGAGTTTCTTTTGCTATGGATCTCCAATTTCATCGCACTATGGTCTGATAATATACAGGGGTTAACTTCAATTCCTTTGCACTTACTTAAACATGTTCTGTGTGTGAGTATGTAGTCTATTTTGGAGAAGGACCCATGTGTAGCTGAAAAGAATGTGTATTTTGATTTTGTGGGTTGGAACACTCTATAAACATCTGTTAAGTTCATCTGTTCAAGAGTTTGATTGAGTTCTAGTATTTCTTTACTGATTTTTTGTCTAGGTGATCTATCTACTTGTGACAGTGGGGTATCTAGTTCCCCCACTACAATTGTATTAGTGCATATATTCCTTTTCATGTCCATTAGTATTTGTTTTATATAGTTGGGTGCACTAGCATTTGGTGCATAGATATTTATGATTGTCATCTCTTCCTATTGGATTATTCCCTTTACAAGGATGTAGTGTCCTTCTTTGTCTCTCTTAATCAGTGTTGGTCTGAAATCTACTTGATGTACAAAGAGGATAGCTACTTCTGCTTTTTGGGGGGTTCTTGTTGCATGGAGTATTGTTTTCCACCCTTTAACTTTCAGTCTATGAGTTTCATTTTGAATTAAGTGTGTTTCTTGTGTGCAGCATATTGTTGGATCTTGCTTCTTGAGCCATTCCGGCAGTCTATTTCTTTTGATTAGTGAATGGAGACCATTAACATTGATGGTTATAACTGATACTTATTGACTTATCATTTTCATGACTTTTTCTTTTTGTTTGATTCTCCCCCTTTGCATTTAATTTCTAGTCTCGCCCAATTTATTCATTCTGCTGTGCTTCCTGGGGTTGTGATCCTCATAGTCTGTTCCTAAGATATTGTCTAAAATTTTTTGGATTGCTGGTTTGGTATTCATGAAGTTCCTAAGGTTCTCTTTGTCATGAAAGTATCTTATTTCTCCATCCATTTTGAAAGACAGTTTTGCATGTTACATCAGTCTGGGTTGCAGACTGTTTTCCTTTAGGGCTTGGAATATGTCACTCCAAGCTCTTCTTGCCTTGATGGTTTGTGTTGAGAAGTCTGCTGTGATTCTGATGGGCTTTCCTTTGT